CTCACCTGTCGTGGCACTCGTCCTTCTGGTGCCTGTCGAGCAGGGCCCTGGGGAACTGGCGGGCGCAGAAGCCGCCAAAAAACACCCAAAAAACACCCAAAAAATCCCCAAAAATCCCCAAAAAATCCTCAAAAAATCCGCAAAAAATCCCCAAAAAATGTGTAAAAAATCCTAAAAAAATCCCAAAAAATCCCCCAAAAATCCCCAAAAAATCCCAAAAAAATCTCAAAAAATCCCCAAAAAATCCATAAATAATCCCTAAAAAATAAAAAAAAAATCCTGAAAAAGTCTCGAAAAATCCTCAAAAAATCCCCAAAAAATCCCCCAAAAAATCCCCAAAAAATCCCCAAAAAATCCCAAAAAATCCCCCAAAATCCAAAAAAATCCCCAAAAAATCCCCAAAAAATCCCTAAAAAATCCCTAAAAAATCCCAAAAAAATACCTAAAAAATCCCCAAAAAATCCCAAAAAAACCCCAAAAAATCCCTAAAAAATCCAAAAAAAATCCAAAAAAATCCCTAAAAAAATCCCAAAAAATCCCCCAAAAAAATCCCAAAAAAATCCCCCAAAAAATCCCAAAAAAATCCCAAAAAAATCCCTAAAAAATCCCCAAAAATACCCAAAAATCACCCGAAAATTCGCAAAAAAATCCCAAAAAATCCCCAAAAAATCGGTAAAAAAATCCTAAAAATTCCCGAAAAAAATCCAAAAAAATCCCCAAAAATCCCCAAAAAATCCCAAAAAAATCCCAAAAAAATCCCAAAAAAATCCCGAAAAAATCAAAATAAATCCAAAAAAATCCCTAAAAAAATCCCAAAAAATCCTTAAAAAAATCCCCAAAAATCACCCGAAAATTCGCAAAAAAATCCCCAAAAAATCCCAAAAAAATCCCCCAAACCCCCCAGAACCCCCTCCAAATGTCTCACCTGTCGTGGCACTCGTCCTTCTGGTGCCTGTCGAGCAGGGCCCTGGGGAACTGGCGTGCACAGAACCCGCACTCCGCGGGGAGTTCACTCACGGCTTTCTCCACGGCCAGGTTACGGCAGCAAAGGCTCTTGGAGATCTCACAGCGGCAGTTGGGACACGTGGCCTGCTCCTCCTTGAGGCGCGAGTCGGCCAGCAGGTGGATGAAACAGCCGGCACACATCAGGTGCCCGTTGGTGCACTGGGGGGGGAGGAAAAAAATTGGGGATTTTTAATTTGATTTTTTTCGGATTTTTTTCCCCATTTTTTTCGGATTTTTTCCCATTTTTTCCGATTTTTTTCCGATTTTTTTCGATTTTTTTTCGATTTTTTTTTCCCATTTTTGGTGATTTTTTCCCCATTTTTTTCCCATTTTTTTCTAATTTTTTCCCATTTTTTCCCATTTTTTTCCTATTTTTTTCTGATTTTTTTTCTGATTTTTTTCCCTATTTTTTCCAATTTTTTTCTGTTTTTTTCCCATTTTTTCCCCTTGTTTTTCACATTGTTCCCCATTTTTTTCTGATTTTTTCCTCATGTCTTCCTCATTTTTTCCCATTTTTTTCCCATTTTTTTCACATTTTTTCACATTTTTTTCACTTTTTTTTCTGATTTTTTTCCTTATTTTTTCCCATATTTTCCTCATTTTTTCCTATTTTTTTTTCCATTTTTTCCCCATTTTTTCCTCATTTTTTCCTATTCTTTTCCTATTTTTTCCTCATTTTTTCCCCATTTTTTTCCAATTTTTTCCCCATTTTTTC